GCGATGCTGACAGCGGGCGGCTGCGGCAAGACAATTAGGAAATACTTAATTAACTGAAAATGTGGGAATTGTGAAGGATTTGCGTGGAAGCGCAGGAAATAAGGCTGGAAAGGACTGCAAAGCTTCAGCGCTCTCCCGTCTCCAGGTTCCCGTCTGCTGATGAAGCTGCAACGCCCTAGAAAATGAATTTATTCCTATTTCTAAACAGCCGGCGGGTGCAGCGAGGGCTGTAAAATGATTCCAGCGGCAAAAATAAGGCAGAAGAGCTGCGGGCACTGCCAGGTGCATCTCAGGAACAGACTAAAAATAGCTTTCCCTGAAGGCAATACCCGCCGACAGCTCTGTCCCGGACCTGCAGACAATGTTCCTGGCAGTGGTGATGCAATCAGGACCGTCGTTTGGGGCAGAAAATGTGGTTATCTGGGGTGTCAGAGGACAGGAATAATATTTATTGCTTTTAATTCAGCTGCTGGATAATTTGGGAGGTGCCACAGCCTCTCTGGCACTGGCTGTGCTAATGCATCCCGTGATGCTCGTGCCGGGCATCACGTCCTCTCCTGCTTTCCATCCCCGGCACAGCTGATCGACTGTAAATGTTTTTCAGTTAAAAACGTGAAAAAAATTTATTTATTTCTGTGATTTTGGCATTTCTTGTGAATTCTCCAGTCTTGGGCACAGACTTCTGAAATTTCTCTTTTCTTCACTTTTTTTGGCTTATAGTTTTTAAACCGTTAGCAGAAAATGAGCGCCGCTCTGGCCCTTTTGCTGATAATTTTCTAAGAAAAATAGTCAAGTTTTGCCGGTGTGGATTCTCTCATGTCTAGTTGTGGTTGTGCATCCCCCTGCAGCCCTGCAAAGCCGGAGGGGGACACGTGGGATGACGGCACACGGCAACATCTCCATCCCTGGGACTCATCCCGGCCACATGCTCAGCGCCTGCGTGGTTTGCTTCCCGACGGGCCAGGACAAGCTCACCCTCACTGGCATCATTTGAGATCGCTGGTGGAGAAAGCCAAAAAGCAAAGCGAAAACATGAATTAATCATGCAAATACAAAAAACCCCAAATATTGTGCACGTGTTTCAACCTGGAAATTTAGTATCAGCGGGGTGCAGGGAATTCGGATGGTAATAAGGCAGCCAGAGGTATTTTCCCAAGAAGGCTGGTACCTGGCATCACGGCTCATTTCGGAGGTCGGCTAACGATGTGACGAGTCTTCGAGCACTTGGGCTGACACATCGATGGGAAAATCCAACCTGCAAAGCTCAGAGGGAGCGGAGACCAGCGGAGGGATGCTTTTGGCCATGCGGGGAGAGTCGTGTGAGCTTTTCCTTGAATTAAACAGGAAAATAGAACAGATGATGTTTTTTTCTGCTTGCAAGTCCCCGGCGGTGCCCAGATCCGGGGAATTTTATCAATCCGCTTCAATAAAAAAGCAAATTAGAGAGGGAGAGGCTTGTAGTTACTGCAGATCTTGCTTGGAAGCAAGAGCTTTATCACGGTCACGGCTTTCCCCATCCACCTGTGTTTTACACCATTTTCAATTCACTGCCAAGGTACAAAAGAAAGCCTAAATCTTGGCCACGCATCTCCAGGGCTGTAGCAGCGCTGGAAACCTGAATCCCCAAAGATTTCCTCCCTTTTTCCCGCTTGGATATGTTTCATCTCATCAAATGAACTGAAATCTGTGCAGCGATGGCGTGAGACGCTGGGGTCGTGATCCTGGAGAGCAGAAATGCTGGGGTCTTGCTATCGAAGGACTTGGGCATTTTTTGGAAGAGGAGATTATTTTACAGTCAAATCAACCAGAAAAAAAGTGCTTCAGTGGGATTAGGATGATGAGATCAGGTTTAAAAGCTGAAAGGCATAAGCAAGACGTGCAGGTCCCTGTTTTTTCTGGATGTTTTTGATGCTTTTGGCTGGATTTCCCACTGCGCTCCCTTCGCAGACGTGGGTGTGGGTTGTCTTGGCACTGGAGGGGCTTTTCATTCATGTTATGGCACGGCTTCAGGTCTGGTGACATGCAAGGGCGTTGCGAAACAGCCCGTGGCGTTTCCTCGAAACGCTCCCAGAAATTTCGCCGCCGCCTTGAGAAGAGGCTGAAAACCGACGTGCTCAGCACACGTGTGGCTGCCGCATCCCTCATGCCCTCCGGGCACGGCGGCTGCAGCTCTTCAGGGTGTCCCGATGCCAGGGGACACGGCATGGACCCACCCGAGCACCGAAATGGAGCAGACCCCCCCTGGAACGTTCTGGGGATACGTAACAAATTGGGGCAGGAGATTTTTAAGATTAAGGAGATTTTTAAGATTAAGGAGATTTTTGTCTCTGGGTGTTTTGGGTGCCTGGGGGTGCATGTTGTGCTCCTGTCCCTGTCCCTGTTGTGCTCCCATCCCCACTGCCATCACACTGCTGTCCCCGTCGGGCTCCTGTCCCCATCACCGGCGCATTCCCATCCCTGTTGTGCTCCCGTCCCCGCCATCACCATCCCGCTCCCGGTCCCAGCCCAACCGTGTGTCCTTCCATACCAAATGCGCATCATCCCGGCTGGGCATCGCTCCGTCCCAACGGGACGTTGCTTCATCCCACCTGGACATTGCTTCATCCGTGTCGGCCATCAATTCATCCTTGCTGTGCATCACATCCCGGCCGTGCATCACTCCGTCCCAGCCATGCATTGCTCCATCTGTGCCATGCATTGCTGCATCCTGGCCATGCATCACATCCTGTCCGTACATCTCAACGATATATCTCTCCATCCTGGCCATGCATAACATCTCATCCGTGCATTGCTCCATCGCAGTCATGCATTGTTCCATCCTGGCCACCCGTCACATCCCAGCCATGCATCGCTCCATCCCATCCGTACATCGCATCCCAGCCGCGCATCGCTCCATCCTGGCTATGCATCACATCCTGGCCGTGCATTGCTCCATCCTGTCTGTATGTCACATCCCAGCCATGCATTGCTCCATCCACGCCATGCATTGCTGCATCCTGGCCATGCATCACATCCTGTCTGTGCATCGGTTCATCCTGACCGTATCTCTCCACCCTGGCCGTGCATGACATCTTGTCCATGCATTGCTCCATCCCATCCGTACATCACATCCCGGCTGTGCATCGCTCCATCCCAACCGTACATCACATCCCGGCCGTGCATCGCTCCATCCTGGCTGTGCATCACATCCCAGCCATGCATTGCTCCATCCCGGCCGTGCATTGCATCACAGCCATGCATCACATCGTGGACATGGCATCGCTCCATCCCGGCCGTGCATTGCATCACAGCCATGCATCATATCGTGGACATGGCATCGCTCCATCCTCGCCATGCATCCCTCCGTCCCACCCGTGCATCACATCGCGGCTGTGCGTTGCTCCATCCCAGCTGTGGACCACTCCGGCCTGGCTGTATATTGCTTTATCCCTGCTGTGCATCGCTCCATCCCGGCGCTGGAGCATCACCTCTCCGCAACGGCTCGCATGGCGGGACAGGAGCTGGCGGCGGGGGTCGCGGGTGAGCCGTTCCCACGCTGCGGCAAGGGGTCCAGGGGCACGGTCTCGGGGCAACCAAGAAACTTTCTCCATTGCACCAGAAAAAGAAGTGAAATTGTAACACCCTCTTGTGAAACCAACCTCAAATCAGGGCCAAAGGGGAAGCACGAGCCCTTCTGGGCATAAGAAAAGCCGTAACTCATAGCTCATCACCGCCCGGCCACGTGATGCTCAGATTTCAGCTGCCTCTGGGGCCATGAGCTGCAGAGAAAAAACCCCGGGAAGTGGCTGGAGGACTCACGCAGCGCTTGGAATTTTTCATCTCCAGCTGCAAAATGAGCAGAGAAAAAAGGGGGTGGTGAGCGCAGCCGAATTGCAGCAGCTGGTGGCAGCCGGGCTGTCGGCCCAGGACGGTCACTGCAGGGGGATGAAATTCTGCAAAAAGGCTTCATCGACCGGAGGAGCTGCTACAAGTGACCGCAAACGTGCAGGAAACGGAGTTTTCCCCTTCTCCATCCCCCGTGCGCACGTGCAGCCACCTCACCGCCGTCTTTTTGCAGGCTGGATGAGGCTCTCCCAGCCCTGGGGCACCACCGATACCCTGTTCCCACCCCTTGGCAGGATTTGACCCGCTTGGGTGCCGTTCAGCACAGCGAGCCGGGGCCAGAGGGTGCCTAATCTCCCTGTTGTGATCTTTATCTCTCCTTTTTTTTGCTCCCCCACCCAGTGCCAGCGCGATGCAACCGCCCCAAGGACGTGGCCAACGCGCACATCGATGTGGGCAACAACACGCTGCTCAACACCCGCCTGCGCTACACCTGCAACCCGGGCTACAAGCGCAAAGCCGGTACCTCCAGCCTCATCCAGTGCATCCTTCGCGACGGCTCCACCGAGCCCGACTGGACCGAGACCACGCTGCAATGCATCCGTAAGCCCTCGCTCGGCAGCCGGGACGTGATGGGGACCGGGGAGGGGGGACACCTCCATCACCGGCGTGGCGGAGGAGGATGCAGGGTGGCGTGGGCGCTGCCATTGATGGTGTTTCCGCATTGTGTCTTTCCAAAGGGGATCCGGCTCTACCTTCACTAACCCCCAGCCCTGAGCTCCCGACGGCACCGTGCACTAAGAGGACGACCCAGAGGGGTGAGGAAGGTGCAAACGCAGCCCACAGGGGTTGGTTTGGGGCCGCCATGACCGTGGTCATGGCAAAATCACAACCACCGTGGTGTGGAAAGCAAAATATTTCAATTGTGTGATCGAATTAATTCAATTGCCTGAAATTATGCTATTTCGTAGCTGCCGGATGGGCTGTATGGTCCCCGCTGTGACCTGCCCGAAGCGGGCACGAGGCTGAGCACTGAAATAACGGTGCTACCTGGAGCGTGCCTTTTAATTTTTAAAATTAAAAGGTTTTACACCATTTTCCCCAGCAGGAACCACTGATGCCAGCCCGACCTCCAGCCCCTTTCCAGCAGCAATGCCCGGGCTGCCAGGAGCTGCCAGCCGGTCACCCGTGCTCCAGCCACCACCGGAGACATCCACGCTGCCAGAGATGCCCCCACCACTAGGAGGGGGAACGGCCCCGGGGACATCTCTGGAGACAACCCCGCTGCCCACCATCTCCATGGACCATGCCGCAGGTCAGGCCACCTCTCTGGGGGAGATAACAACGGGGCTGCATTTCAATCAGCGAAGGCTCTTTTACTTTTTCAATGCATTTTTCCTTTCTCTCCAACCCCCTTTTTAGTGAGGGTCCCCCCAGCATCCCCCCCTTTCCTGGATTTGCAGCTAAAAAATCTCCATTTCTCTCCTCTTTTCCAGTTTCCATCCAGACCCTGGCCTCTTCCATTGGTAAGCCAGGCAAAAAGCTTATTTTGGCAAACAGGGGCTTATTTTCTTTTATTTTTTAGCTTAAAAGCCCTCTTTGGGGCTGTGGGAGGTTTATGCTGTGGGCAATGCCTCCGAGGGGGGAAGGATGCAGCACCCAAATTTCTTCCTGGGGTGGGGAGAGCACCTCATGAACATGCACAAAGCGTTTGTCGGCTCTTTGCGGAGCTGTTTTGTTTGAGCCGGGCTGCGCCCTCGGCCGTGCGTTGGAAGATGCTCATCGGCCGCCGCTTCTCTCCCGCAGGGCTCCCAGTGCTGGTGGTTGCCGGCATCGTGGCCTGCTGCTGCTGGAGGATGAAAATGTAAGTGTGCCGAGCCCCGCAAGCTCTTTCCACCCCAGTGATGAGTTGTCCTTGGCCACTGCGCTTTCCTGAAAGCTGGGGAAAGGCCTTGGGGTGCCAGTGACACTCCTCTCCCCTCCGCAGGCGTGCGGGGCAGGACTATGTGGTGACAGCCATCCCCATGGTGGCTCCCGCTGCTGAGAACGAGGAGATGTTGCCGTCCGTCATCTTCCCCATGGGCTGAGCACCCACTGCCAGGCATCTGCCAGCCTGGAGGATGCTCAGGGCTCGGATGGAAAGCCGGACGTTTCCCCGAGCGGCGGTGGTGCATGGCAGAGTGTGTACTGGTCCCCAGCCGCCCTCCGCACGGAGCATCCTTGCCCCAGGGACATGCG